TCCCATTCTCCCCTTTTGGAATGTATCTCCCAGTGCCATGATGTAATATGGAATGAAGCTAGTTAGTCCGCCATATCTCTGTTTTGGAGCTGGGTATTTTATTCACACCTAAGCCAACTTGTCTCCCTTTGGAAAGCCCTTTTGCGCCGGTAGAAATTATTTTGGAATTAATCGATAACCCCTCGTAGTAAGGAAGGTTATGCCGGCACACGCCCAAATTTTGGATTTACCATGCCTCCGACATAGAAGCAAAAGTCTCAGTAATAAACTCACAGGATCCATACAACTAAGGATATATGCCCAGATCTGACAAGCAAGACACCAACTATCTAGTTTATAGAGCACCCATATAATTAAGAAAGACCATGGGTGCCAACAGAATGAGGAGAAGGATCGCCACCCAGAGATAATCGTCATGGCCATCGTCTGTAAGCTCAAGCAACGAACCCCAGAGGAAAACCACAGGATGCACTACCTAAGTCAAAACAGTACAAGTGGCCATTCCAAGAGACCACACCTTGGGCCCGCACCCATCGCCAGGCTATCCCCGCCAAAAAGTTACCAATGCGGTTCCCTGGCTCCGGCTCCGCCGCCACCAGAACACCACCCTCGGCGACGGCATCGTCCGCCAGTTGAGCCGGCTGGACAGCTTGCTGCTGAACCACGAGCCCCGCAGTAGCCAGCGCCGACCACCGATGAAGGTTGTCCCCGGCCAAGGCGCCTTGCGCCGCAGCACCATGCCTCGCACCGTTGCCAGCACCATGGCCGCTTGTGCCTCACTCACCGCCATCTTCGTCGCCTCCTCCGCCGACTCGCCGCTCCATCCCCTCCCTTCGAGCTACACCACCCTGCACTTACCTACCACTCGTGGCAACCGCACGGAGAAGACGCAAAGCAGCCCCCCATCTCCTCCACCCTTTTGTCGAAAGCGGCTCGCCCGCAAAACGATTACCTAAGTGCATAAGGCAAACGAGATATTTTGGAAAACCGGTGTATTTTGGAACAAGCCGTTGTTTACAACCACCATCGGATTGCCCCGGTTAAACGGCTATAAACCCTATAGAGGACACAAGGTACCACTGCAACATCCGACCATCGCGCGCCATACCCGTGGCCAGGCACGCATGCCTACAACAGGATACAAGTACAATCGCCTGTCATCAGAAGACATGCAAGCAGGTTCGTCCTAGAAAGAAGTTCTAGGTGACCAAGGATATAATCAGGAGCGCTCCCATCGACCCGAAGCCAGTCCCGTGAAAATTGGAATTTCATATATCTTACCTTCTTCGTTTCTTCAGGAATTTTCTAAAATAATTCCGTGGAACCCTCCTCGCAAGAAAATACCTAGGTGCAGTTCCTCTCCCTCTCTTTATCCAACCCTTACTAATCTTGAGGACGAGATTATTCTTAAGGGGGTAGGTTTGTAACATCCTGGAAATCTCGATTCTGAAATACGGAATTAAAAATTCGGAATAATAAAAAATCTTTTAAAACATTTTTGCATGCTGGGATTTATTATGTATTTGTGTGTATTTAGGTTGTGTGCCAAAGATCTCGATTAAATCTTATCTCCTAAAGGGACGCCCTCTCTGTCCAACGTCCTTTCCTTCCCTTATCTTCACGGTCTGATTTATTAAGTGCTTTAGTACTAAACAAATCACAGATCTGAATTTATAACCCGAAAATCTTTCCTTATGTCACAATGCGACATATCTTTCTCAATTCTTACCCTACGGTTATTTTAAACCATTCTACTAATTCTACTCGATAAATCCTTCAAATGTCTACAATCGATTGGCGTAACGTATCATATGCACACATGCCCTCGCATGTACACACCGTGTACACCAACTAAAAATTATCACAAAAAATTCTAGAAAAATTCATACATGTACTTTCAATAGTATTACATCTACGTGCAAAGTCGCATCTTCAAATTCATTCTATATAGAGAATAACAAAAAAGATAAAATTTTGACAAAATTGCAACCTTAAAACTGTCAGATTTTTTGTTTTTTTTTGTTACGGCTAAAATATAATGAATTTGACGTTAACATTTTAACCCTAGGTGTAATACAATTGAAAGTATGTGTATGATTTTTTCTAGATTTTTTGGTGACATTTTTAGTTGGTGTGCACGTGTGTACACGTGAGGGCATGTGTGCATAGGATATGTTGCCTATTTATTTATCGTGCATCGATTCAAATATATTCAATTCTATTTCTACCGTGACAATTGGATTTGTATGCCATGCGTCTTCCCTAAAATTTCTTTGTGCCACCTGTGTTCATTCATGCAAAGCGCTCGCAAAGGGATCCTAATTCTAACCCATACGGCCTTCTTGCCAAATTAAATTCCTAACTACCGTCATACAGACCGATGTATAGTCGCTGTGCACGTTCAAGTCCAAGTGACAAATCCATTTTCCAACCTCCGAAATTCCCCAGGGAAGTACAATAGGACTAGCAGTACCAACTCCAAATAAAATAATGCCCAAGATGTACAATGACCTGCACCGTCCACCTATACGATCCCATTACCCATATACTGTCCATTTTACCGTACTATCACGAAATCCAAACCGAACTCAATTGTTCAGATAACGCTTCACTCATACAGTCCCATTCCCAAGTATACAATTCACCCTACCATCCAATTACACAGAGCCAAATTAAATGTCCAAATTATACGATCCATAGTACAGTCCAATGCACAGATCAGTTGCAAGCTCAAATGCCACTGTCATCCCAATACAAACCCTACCAAAAATACAAAAGCTCCTATTACAATTGGGCCATTCTCCTCTCTCTCCCAGCCCAACGAACAACCCAGCATAAGTCTATTTTATCTCCCCCAGCCGACCTAGCAGCCCACCCCTGTTCCCTTGCTCAGCCAACCACCAGAAGTCTGCTCTGCCTCCCTCAGGCAACATGCATGCACAGAACGTGTCCGACAAATTGCCTACAAGACACCACAGGGTTTTGCACCCACCTTTGCCGGCTCACAACAGTAGCTCATAAATGCCATGGCCCCTCCCAACCAACAACGCCTGCACCCATGCTCCAAATCCACAAGACTCACCACCAAAAACCAACAAACACAGTGAGGAAGGCTCACACCGAAAAACAACACCAAGTTCACAGAGGGGAACTCACTTTGTCTCCCATGCAGATAGCCACAACACCAGGAAGCCTATATAAACACCACCACAGCCATGCACCCCTCCATTTCCTCCTCCCCCTCCCTGATCGTCGAGCTCTGTCGCCACCACCACTCCATTCCCTCACGCATTTGCTGCCTCCTCTCCATTTGCCCCGCCGTGGCTAGCCTAGGCTGAGCTTCGATTGGGCAAAGGGACGGGTTGGCCGCCGCGCGCATTGATCACCTGAGAACGACTAACCCCTAACATTTAACCCGCTAACCCTTTCATTTTCAGTTTCGCTAACCTCTGACTCTTTCTTTTTGTTTCGCTAACCCCTAACTCACTAACCCGCCAACTCCTTTACTTTCGTTCCGCTAACTTCTAACTCGCTAACAAACTAACCTCCAACCCTTATCTTGCACTAACCCGCTGACATTTATCCCCTAACACTGTGTGTTCGCTTGTTGCCGACGATCGAACACGTGGTGTGTGCGAGGACGAACAGCAAGCCTAGGATGATCCGTGAGCCGACCGTCGACGCCCGTCGACATTGCACGGTGTGCCGCTACTCGGCTACCGCAATGTGAGCAACTCCTCCTTCCCCTCCTTGCTCTCCCTCCCATCGTCACCCTTAGTTTTGTTGATCGCCTCCTCCTTGCGTGGCCGACACCTAGCCGGACCGCGCACCATCCCTCTCCCACGCGCCTGGCCGCGCCGCCGCGTAGCCTAGCCTGGCTACCGGCTACCGCCGCACCGTCGCCTGCGCCGACACGCCCGGCCGCTGCCCCGCCGACGTCTTGGCCTCACCCAGGACGCCGCCGAGTGGCCGCGCCATATGCGCGGCATCGCCGTATCACGGCCACCTCGAACCGCCATGGCCACCACCCTCGCACCAACAAACTGAACACCGTCATCGCGCCCTCCATCCCCAACCCAACCTATTAACTGAACGCCGCCACCCCCGGTCCCAACCTCCATCCCCGCCAGCAAGCCCCTCCCCTCTGCCTGCCGCCGGCGTCCCCATTCCCCATGGCCGTCGTGCCGCCCCTAGCGCCGACGAGCCGACGCCCCAGGCCGCCTCCCCCTCCATTACCGCCGCCAAACACATCCACCCCGTTGCCGCACCACCCATCCCCCTCTCTTTTTTGCGCATGAGGAGAAGCCGAGGGAGGAAAGTAGGAAACAGAGCGAGAGAAAGAGATAAGACGAGAGATTGAGAAGGATCGGGAGAAGGAGAAAGAAAAAGAAATAAAAGGTAGGACCCACCCTTTGGACTTCCGTTCGTGAGCCATCTCTCCTCCATGAAGTCTACAACACCTCCCTGACTCCTCCAGGACAAGCCCAAACACCAAGGCCTCTGTTGAAGTCTATGTTATCCCCTAGCCGAGCCGAGAGATGGAAAAAGTACACCGAAGGTCCCTCAGCTTGTTATGGAGTTACAAAATCGTCCTCCAACCACAAAACCAGATATCTGGTATCCCTTAACTAATCAAAACTGGTCACAGTAGGTCATTTAGTGGTTTTGTGCCCGGTTTTGTCCTACGTGGCGGCTGATTCAACGTGGGACCCACATGTCAGGCTGCCACGTCATATTTCTCTCACTTCCCTCCTCTCTCTCTCTCACTCTTCTCTTTTGTTCTATGGGCAAGCCGGCCAGCGGCGGAGGAGACCACCAAGGTAAGATAGGAGAGGAGGAGGCGGCGGGCGACAAGACGGCGACGACGCGGCGGCGACGACGACACGGGAGGACACGCGACAATGACACGACGGCGGCGACACGGCGACGGCGATGGCGACGATACGGCGGCGGCGACGACGACGAGGCCTGCGTCATGACGAGGTCGATGTCGCGGGGTTCTATCCCTGTCTCGTACAATTGTTTGCAGCAGTTGTACAGTTTCTTACATTCTTGGCTCTCTTGATGGTAATCCTGCTGACTCCCGTGACGGGTTTCATTCCGAGCTTCATCATGGCCTTGCGGCTCTTCTTCTCGCTCCTGCTCTGCTTGGAGCCTTTATTTACAACTGCACCGTGCTCACCTTCAATTCAAGGTCATCAAAACTGCAAATCAGGCTATAAATCTAGCTATTAGTAATTGCTACAAGAACTGAAGGTAACACCGTTAACGAAATCCAAACACCACGATGCACTAACACGTTTCTAATCAGTAAAACTACTGCACGCTGCCTTTCACATGGACAGATTGCAGTATTAACGAAGACGAAACGCAAAGGAGGAAGAGTGTTACCGTCATCCTCATCACCATCGTCATCGTCGTCTTCATCGCCGTCGTCATCATCCTTGGCGTCCTCGACGATGGGAGCATCGTCCTCCGGCTGCGCCTTGGCCGCGGCCTCCTCGGGTTTGACGGGCACCGCGGCGCTGCTCACCAGCTCCGCCTCGGCGGTCGCCACCGGCGTTTGCTCGCTGACCATGTCGAGGAGGAGGAGGAGGATCCGAGCGAGGCTCGCGGTTGCAACAATGACTTGCGGTGGTGGCGCGCGCACCAGGAGAGGCTCGCTGTTGCAACAACTACTTCCGCCACGTCCGCTGCCTCGCTTCTCCGTCTCGCGGCCGCAGCGCCGCCCCCCGTCGCTTCCCCCACCGGCGTCGCGGGCCTCGCACGGCCGCCGCGGAGCTCCGCCGGGCTGCCGCCGTGCTTCCCCATTGCTGCCGCCGCGGCCGCCGCCGAGGAGGAAGAGAAGAGTGAGAGAGAGAGGAGGGAAGGGAAAGAGAGATGACGTTGCAGCCTGACATGTGGGTCCCACGTTGAATCAGCCGCCACGTAGGATAAAATAGGGGTCAAAACCACCGAAGGACCTACTGTGACCGGTTTTGATTAGTTAAAGGATGCCAGATATCTGGTTTTATGGTTGGGGGACGATTTTGTAACTCGATAACAGGTTGAAGGACCTTCGGTGTACTTTTTCCCCGAGAGATTGATTAACCTACATAAGTCTACATAATACCCTTCTACAGAGCCCATCATTAGCCACCTCATCCACTAAAGTCCACAACACATCCCCTATGCAACCCAGAGCCCTCTCTGAAAGCAGCTCCCCTTCGGTTTATAAACTCTTCCAACTTCGAAAATCCATATCTTTCCAACCGTAACTCCGATTGACTCCGTTCAACTTCCATAATCTGAAAACCTCTACGGCTCGGGCGCCCGATCATTTGGAGAAAAATCGGGCGCTGACGTCAGCGATTTACGTGCAGAAACTACTTTAAACTGATTTTTCTCTTAAATTATTTATCCAAATCATGATCCGATTGCACCATTAAATTCGTTGTAATTAAATCTTCAAAACAAGACCACACATGAATATATTCCGATGAAATTTTTTTATCTTATTATTGAATTATTTTTAAATGTTGCACGATGTTCCACCAGGTATATCAGAATTGTTTCACTAAGTATATCGAAAATGTTTCACTCGTTTAAATCGGGTGTTGTTTCACCTTATATAATAACAATGTTTCAGCAAATAGCGAAAGATTGTTTCAGTTCACTGCAACATTTGATCTATACATAGTGAAACATTATAAGTACACTAGGTGAAATATTTTTTGGTGGAACAAAAAATAAAACAAATTCTCTTAATAGGGGGTTTCCAAAATATGTGGGTTTTTTTGTTGCAATGGAATATTTCAGTTCACTACAACATTTGATCTATACATAGTGAAACATCGTGAGTACACTAGGTGAAACATTTTTTGTGGAACAAAAAAATAAACCAAATTTCCTTAATAGAGGGTTTCCAAAATATGTGATTGATTTGTTGCAGGTGGGGGTAGGTATTGTGGTCGGGTCAGCGTCATCAACGCGCGCGCGGGGACGGGGGCGGGGGGAGCGACCGATTTTTCCTCCCCCCGCCTGGTCGCCCGAAGGCAAGCATTATCGTCATAATCTCCCTAAAATCGAGATCTATTTAATGGCACCATTAGTTGTATTAGTTGTATTGAATGTTGCTTTCTTTTATTTCTTTTAGGATTGTGCGTGGATATTCTTTGGTTATTTATCAACGTATCGGATATTTATCGATCACGGGTATTCAGGTTATCTGACTGTTGCGGATATCTCGAAGACATTAGGAACCTATAGCAAGGCAAGTCACTACACTCTCTTCCTTGAACATATTGATCCTAGATTTATAAATATTTTGTTTACATATAAATTGCATGCTATTTATAAAGTGCGTACCTATACTTGATTATGCCTACCCTTGATATTGATTACCTTTATACATGTTGTATGCCTTTGAATGCCTGAGTCATTTATTTATATGCGGTCATTTATTGACATTGCTTAGCACTGCCATTATAGACATACGCACACTCCATATTTATGTTAGATAAATATGGATGTGGGATCACTCGATGTGAGTGATCGATGATTTGCAGGTGGAGGCATGAGCGCCACCTGCCACACACAGATATTTTGCGAAAACCAAAACTTAATGAAACAAAACTATTTCGACTGGGGCGGCATGAGTAAAATATGGGTGGTTTAGGAAATGGTTGGTCGCCGACCCTAGTTAGTTAAGGACCGAGTCAGGAAGCTATGCGGGAAACAAACCAAGTAAGACTGCACTTCTTACGTATGAGCGGACCCGATGGATTAGGAAGCTCTTGCGGGGCGGCACCTCAGTCATGGTAAGTTCTGTATGGATACGATGTTGAGGATTGCAGTGTCGGAAAGTGAGTAAAAGCCATGGTAAACCTTAAAATGCACCCTATAATTATATATATAGTAAATATCCCCCAATCCCTGGAGCGCCAGGACTCCCCTCACCATCCGATAGTAGGTAGGTTGGAGTGCCGGGGTGCAATGGGGGCTCATAGTCCTTGGAGCGGGTGCCGAAATGCGAGAGCGACTAAAAAGGCGGGCCGTGGCAAGTCTCATGTGTTGGGCAAGCCGCGGAGTGCGGGATTAAAAGCATGCATCCACTGCAGTGTGAGTAAACCAATCTATTCGAATAGCCGTGCTCGCAGTTAATGAGCGCTGGGACCTGTACTGTGAGATGCTGGAAAACCCGGGGACTTGAATCCCGGTTCCTCCTCATGCGTGAACCGTGCTAGTTCCACGATCAATAGCTAGCACACGCCTTCACAATCTTGTCATCACATCCATACAAGGAAATACATACATATGGATACAAGGCTTACATAACTTAGCGCAAACGGATGACATACATCACTTTGGGCCAAATGGCCAATAAAAGAGAGTTAAAATGCAGCGGAAAGAATATCAATTATATATGTTCATCGGTATGCCCATCTACCAAACCACACAGGCAACCGACTAGGAATCACCCTAAAAAGAACCATCCTTGAAACTCCGGTACCCGTCGCAAACACTCACATCCTGCAATCAAGACTAAAAACAACAAGAGGTGGGTCAATACATACGTATTGGCAAACCCTACCCAAAACCTTGGGAAACTTAAAAGTACTTGCAAGCTGAGATCAATGAGGGCTATATTTGTAGTTCATTTTCAGCATAAAGCAAATTTTGATTCGCAATAGTAAATGATAGTAGGTTGCTATGAAATTTGTAAAACAATAAGCATGTAAGTAGAGCATCATAGTAGTAATATAATAGCATCATAATCATCATAGTAATATCATTCTTGTGCCCTCCAAGGCAGCAAGCAACATGTCTCATTCTCAGCCCACAATGGGCAAAATCACCATTTCCCACCTTACCCGGTTTCACCAAACAATTGAAAGCCATAAAACTATACTCATGACACTTCACCAAGTTGCTCATGACCGTGAGCACGGCTAATCGATTAGTTTTAGACTCTGCAGAGTTTATACAACTTTACCCACATGATATGAACACTCTAGTTTGTTTCGTGCTCGCGAAGCACTACCACACTCTACACATTGAATGCGGTCTAGAGGTCATGACAAAGCCGTTACATTGCTTAATGCCTAACCTTGCATGAGCACGGCAAGTGTTTATCCACACTAGGAGCAACCCAAGTGCCGCTAGGTCGGGGGGCCCTCGCCATCCCTAGCGCCGTGGCAGCTAACACATCCGTTCCCCCATGAGGCACTTAACCGTTATATTGGACACACTTAGACGCCTAGGCACAGCCACACTAGGTAGCTCCTATAAACCATCATTCCGACTAGTTCATACTACTACGGCCTCCCAATGCAAGGTCAGACATTAAACAACTTAATAAGCTAAGGCCATCCCATTCCTAGCACATGTGGTTGCACGGTATACTTAGATGGTGACACAAAGTTTGGTCCTTAATTGACTAGGGCGAGCACTCCCCCTATCGATATGCAACTACCACCATATGCACATCACTTGCTGCCCCAGTCTAAAATCATCATTTTTCAGTTTTCCTTTTTCACAAATAACAGAGGCAACCCCTCTGAACAATATTTCCAAATATCCCGAGTTTGAAGAGGGAATACCATGTATTTGTAACCATCGTAAATTTTCTAAGCATGGCTAAGCAAGTAGCTTTAGTTTTAGCTCGAATATACCCACATTGGTGCTTAGACAACACAACAACCCATCCTAGGTGTATCAACAGCAAGGGTAATCAATAAGTCAAGGTAGGCAATGCAACAAGTAGGAGTCGTTCTACCATAACCCAAGTTTAAAACATCTTATGCAATTTATAAATAACAAAGCATTTGCAACATATAGGATTCAACATGATCGAAGGAGGAATTGAAGAGGGCTTGCCTTGATTTGTTGTCACATAATACTTCTCTGGTCCTGCTCACATCACGAATGAATCCACAAATATGCCATCTATTCAATTTTAAACGTAATCCAAATGAACACCAAATAAACACCAAAAATAAATTATGCGCAAACATGCATGATACTGGTGCAGTAGATAGAACATTATTTTAGATGAATTTAGGTGAAAGAATTTTAAATTTTCGATAAAGCATGTGAGAGATATTAACAGTCAAAGTTTTATATGCGGTCAGCGACGTAACTAATACTTCTCTATTTAAACTGGCATTGCACATTCTAGTTTTGCAAAATTTGACCTTACAGCATTAAGGAAAATATTATTATAGACCTAACAAAATTTGGTTCAGTCGAAAATGATTTAAGATGAATTAGTTATGCATTTTTGAAGTTTGCCTATTTTTCAGTTTTCCAAATTCCCCGTTTGAACTGTGCTTTTGCAACTCGAACCCTGAGCTTTTATTTTTATTACAAAGAGGTCCTGTCTTCTTCTCCAAACGAGCAGAGACAGAGCAGAGCCATGGCTGAGCTCGATCTCGAGCTCGCCTGCGTCAAACGGCGGACCGAATGAGGTCGGGGTTAAAGGAGAAAATGCAGATAAGGTCTTTGTGATTCCGTTTCTCTATTCATCCCAGCCGGCGGTGGACGGAGATGGCCGGGAACTCGTCGGCAGCTGGGCTACTCAAGGACTGCACATGCATG